CTAATGTTTTGTATTTTTAGTAGAGACGGGGTTTCACCATGTTGACCAGGATGGTCTCGATCTCTTGACCTCGTGATCCACCCGCCTCGGCCTCCCACAGTGCTGGGATTACAGGCTTACCGCGCCCGGCCTGTTACTTTTTTTGAGATGGAGTCTTGCTCTGTCTCCCAGACTGGAGTGCAGTGGCACCGTCTCGGCTCACTGCAACCTCTGCCTCCTGGGTTAAAGCAATTCTTCCACATCAGCCTCCAAAGCAGCTGGGAATACGGGTACACACCACCACACCTGACTATTTTTTGTTGTTTTTTTTTTTAAAGTAGAGATCAGGTTTCACCATGTTGGCCAGGCTCGTCTCAAACTCGTGACCTCAGGTGATCCACCAGCTTTGGCCTCCCAAAGTGCTGTGATTACAGGCATCAACCATCACATCTAGCCTGTTTGTGTTTCTTCTGAATAGTCAGTAATCCCTGGCTATACCTGTTTTTGTATGTGTGGTATTGCAGTCTCTCTGCTGCTGTAACATTTAGCTTTTGTCTCATTCTGAAGTATACCACCATTTTTTTCAGCACTATATGTCATAGGAGCCAGAAAACAGTGTCTAGAAAGGCCCCTAGAAGCAAGTAATAAAGATGTATGTGCCAGTATTTTAATTGTCTTTTAAAAAAGAAACCAAAAGTTGGCAGTTTACTACGAAAGGCACTATGTTATATTGGGGAGCAGGAAGGCTGTGCTGGGTAAATGTAACAGACTTTTCTTTTTCTTCTGTGTCACTCTCTGTGTTGTGATCATCTGGGGCACTTCACACACTTAACTCTTTTATAATTTTTTCTCAGATGTATTTTTGTTTTATGTTTTTGTCACATTTCCATGTCTACAGAAAATTAGGGCCTGTGGTATTTTGCTGTGCCATCTTCTATATGTAGTTTGTATAATTTTCTGGGTTAGATTTGTAAAGCATATTCATCTGAGTCTAGTAAATGGAGTAATTTGTTATTTTTATTTCTTTCAGTTATATATTCTCATTTTGCCCAAGACCTTTGGCCAGTGCAGGGCATAAAAAATTCTTTCCAAGAAGTCATATTGAGAAGATATAGAAAATGTGGACATGAAGATTTACAGTTAAGAACAGACTGTAAAAGTGTGGATGAGTGTAATCTGTGCAAAGAAGGTTATAATGAACTAAACCAGTGTTTGACAACTACCCAGAGTGAAATATTTCAATGTGATCAATATATGAACGTCTTTTACACATTGTCAAATTCAAATATACATAAGATCAGACATACTGGAAAGAAAACTTTGAAATGTAAAAAATGTGACAAATCATTTTGCATGCTTTTACATCTAACTCAACATAAAAGAACTCATATTAGGGAGAATTCTTACCAATGTGAAGAATGTGGTAAAGTCTTTAACTGGTTCTCAACCCTTACTAGACACAGAAGAATTCACACTGGAGAGAAGCCCTACAAATGTGAAGAATGTGGCAAATCATTTAAGCAGTCTTCAACCCTTACTGCACATAAGATAATTCATACTGGAGAGAAACCTTACAGATGTGAAGAATGTGGCAAAGCCTTCAACCGGTCTTCATACCTTACTACACATAAAAGATTTCATACTGGCGAGAAACCCTACGGATGTGAGGAATGTGGCAAAGCTTTTTACCTATTCTCACACCTTACATCACATAAGAAATTTCACACTGGAGAGAAACCCTTCAAATGTGAAGAATGTGGCAAAGCATTTAACCACTCCCCAAAACTTACTGTACATAAGGTAATTCATACTGGAGAGAAACCCTACAAATGTGAAGAATGTGATAAAGCCTTTAGTGTATTCTCAAACCTATCTAGACATAAGAGAATTCATGGTGGAGAAAATCCCTACAAATGTGAAGAATGTGGCAAAGATTTTAAACAGTACTCATACCTTATTATACATAAGAGTATTCATACTGGAGAGAAACCCTACAAGTGTAAAGAATGTGGAAAAGCCTTTAGGGTACATTCAATCCTTACTAGACATAAGAGAATTCATGGTAGAGAAAAACCCTACAAATGTGAAGAATGTGGCAAGGCTTTTAACCGGTACTCACGCTTCACTATACGTAAAAGAATTCATACTAGAAAGAAACCATAAAATGTGAAGAATGGTGAAGCTGTTAAGCTATACTCAACCACTAGTGCATACAAGGTAATTCATGCTGGTGA